AATGGTAGGCTAACACTGTGTCACAATGCCTATGTCATTCACTTTCATCCCATCGTGTGAGCGATTTATCGCCTCACATTATCACAACAAGAGGGGTGAGTATAGTACGAGGCATTTTGAGAGAGACTATATTCACATAACTTTTATTACAGTAAGTTATAATTGTTCTATTTTATTCGTATTGTTTTTAATCTTTTACTGGGCCTAATTTATAAATTAAACTATCAGAGGTATGTATGTACAGGAAAAATCATAATATATATGGGGTTTGGTACTATCCATGGTTTCAGGCCTCCACTGAGGGTCTTGGAACACATTCCTTGTGGATAAGAGGGACTTCTGTATTTAACATTTAATCAGGAGATTTCCCATAAAAGCCTGGACTTCTGACTTTTCTGACAAATCAGCAGTTCTTCCACCAGTGAGGAGAGCTGAGGAGCAGGTGTTCCCTTTGGAGGAGGCATGGGGGACAGGGTCCCCGTCTGCCCCTCTCAACTTCATGTGCCTGGCCCTTTGGAGCCATATGATTTCCATACCATGTAATAAGCCTCTGCTGCTTCAAGTGTAGCCTAGTTACTGGGGGCTTATTAGAAAACCTACTGACTCATAATTTGCACTTTAATAAGACCCAGTGATGCTTACTGTGAGGTTCAAGAAGCACTGTTATAAAGCACAGAGCATCAGGATCTTTGGGGAGTGTTTTGCTTCTTGTTTTATACCTGTGTCCAAGGCCCTAGCCCGACTTCCAGAAGTCAGAGTTCCTGGTATGGAGCATTTAGTCCATCAAATTAATGCAAGCTACAAGATTATATATTACATAGCTACTATACAAGATATAGTATAAGCTTATATATACAGGCTATATACAAGATTATATATTATATAACTACCAAAAATATTTGAGAAATATGGATTTCAGTATAGATGTCAGAAAGCTAATTATGTTATTCCATTGGGGTCCTCAGAACAAGTTGACCAACCACGACAACTGTGCAGTCTGATACTCCATGTTGAAAAATTGCCCATCAGAAGATTTGTTTGGTTGTAACTTCCTCCTTATTTACCATCAATTTTTATTCTAGTTCCAGTATAGTTCACCAGTAGTGTTAAATTAGTCTCAGGCATACAATATAGGGAGTCATCACTGTAAGTTTGGAACGGAACTTGGGGTGGTTGTAGTTGGATTGGTTTTTGTGAAGGACGTTGCAGTTGTAAAGGAACGTGTGTTAGTGTATGTCCTTACTCTGACCACCCGAACAGTTTCATAGGCACTAGATAGCTTTGAGAAAGTTTTCTTTGTTGTAATACAGGCTTTCTGGTTTGTAGTGGAGTGCTGAGATTCTAAAATAGTAACACTACTAGCTAACTTTTTTTTTTTTTCCATTAAAAAATATGTTGGCTTGCTCTTAGGGAAATTCTTAACTCATCGTTGCTTTGATGGGGTTCTGTTTCTCTCAAACTGTGTGTGCCCTCAGGCCTCCTAGTTATTATTTGTTAAATTCCTTTTTCAACTCATTGCCTTTCAGATGCACTTAGTAACTTAATCAACTCCCCCAAATTTATTGGATCAAAATATCAGAGTTGCTATATGAGAGATTTCCACCGTTCATTACCTTTTGATGTAACACTTTAGTTAAGTATATATTCAATGAATTTATCTTAAGTCACTTTCAACTAATTTTCTTTCATGCTTTTTCATTCTTGATTTGAGGTGGGCTTTTCATGCAAATATGTGCCACCAATTATTTTCTTCATCTCATAAAATATCACTTTATTGTTTTGTTTAGTAGTGTCAACAATGGCATTTTGGAGAGGTTTGGTACTTAATTGTGATGTATTATTCTTTTATCAGTTAATAAGAACTTGTGATTCCAGTTCTTCATTCAAATTGGGTAAAATGAAAAAGTTAAGGTCCTAACTGTGGACTAGATCTGTGCACCAGCAGTCCTGGGAGCTTGTTAGAAATGCAGGGTTCCAGGCCCTGCTCCAGACCCACTGTCTCAGAGTCTGCATGGTAACAAGGTTTTCCAGCAGGTGATCTGTGCACTTGTTAAAGTGGGAGAAGCTCTGGACTAGATGGTTGACTAGTCCTACTGTAGGATTATCTATGGTGGTGGTGAAAATAATGTCAGAAAGTATCTTCTTTTCCATCTGCTCAATCCCTCCTTTTTCTTCTTAAATTTCATTTTAATGAAGATCCTGCCTTCTCCAGATTGTCTTATCGCTCTAAGCGTACCTCCCGTCTTGCTTTTGGGTAACCTTCCATTTAACCACCAAAAGCAAGCACGTCCTAGCTTGAGTTCTCAACTGTTTCATGGTTGATAATTTATTTGGAGACACGTATAACTGGTATGGGATCATTTGTGCTCTGTATATTTGGCGTCTGCCTCAGATCTGTCTGGCATTTTAAGCCATACCAAGTCCATCCCTTCAGCAATGCCTCTTACATTGGCAACATGTTAGAATCGCTTGATGAGATTTAAAGCGGACCAACGCCTTGGTTCCATCCCAGGTGAATTAAATCTATTTCTAGGGGTTGGCTCTGGACATCAGTATTCATTCATTAAGGACATTGTTCTAGGATATAAGGAATAGGACACAACCCCAACTCTGAATTCATTGTCTTTTGATGAAGGTAGGCACTTAGGCAGGAAATCACAGCAGGGGTGAGACAAGAGTAGTAAGAGCTTTGGGACAAAGTCCGCGGCCACACTACAGAGGGAATGAACACTGGGGAGATGGGGAAGTGATGTTCAAGTTGAGCCTCCAAGGATGAGGGTCATTTACTGCGTGGGCAAGAAGGCTAACACTCCAGATAGAAGAAATAGTACCTGGGAAGGCCTGGGCCACTCTTACCATTCCTCATCTCATGTGTGGGATATTGAGGTTTGCTTCTCCTCTATCCCACCTTTCTCCCTGCTTATTTTTCGTCTGTGTGTTGGCAATACCACTACATTTATCACTTGACTCTCTGAAGAGAGAGTCATTTTGCCCTTAATGATTAGGCTGATTTTTAAAAATAACAGCATTATCGACCTATATTTTATATACCCGTATTCATTTCCTGTGGTTGTCACAACAAATGATCACAACAGAAACCTAGATCTCTCAAAGATCTAGAGGCCTGTGGTCTGAAATCAGAGTCAGCAAGGCCATACTCTGCTTGGAGGCCCTAGGGAAAAAAGCCCCCTTGCTTTTCCAGTATCTCAGGCTTTTGATGTTTTTTGGCTTTCTTGTTTTGTGGCCTCCTCCTGCCAATCTCCACTTCTGTTTTCACATTGCCTTTCTCTCTGTGTGTCTCTCCAGTCTGCCTCTGCTTTTCTTTTGTAAGCATGTTTGTTACTGAACCTGTGGCCCACCTGGATGAATCCAGGATCATCCTCAGATCCTTAACAGATCTGCAAAGACCCTTTTCCCAAGGAAGGTAACTTTCGCATGTTTGAGTGATTAGAATGTGGACATAACATTTTTTGGCCACCATTCAATAGTACTTTTACAATGCAGTGGTTTTTATAGTCACAGAAGTTTGCATCCATCACCACTCTCAATCTGATATTTTCCTCACCCCTCAGACAAATGCTATACCCATGAGTAGTCACTCCCCATTTTCTCCCAATGCCCCCAGCCCTAGGCAACCACTAATCTGCTCTCTGTCTCTGTGAATTTGCCTAGTTTGGACATTTCATATAAACAAAATCATAAAAATATGTGGCCTTCTGTGTCTGGCTTCTGACACTTTGCAAAATGTTTTTTAAGTTTCATCCACATTGTAGCAGGTATCCATACTCCATTCTTTTTTATGTTGAATGCTGATCTCTTGTATGACTATACCGAGTTTTTTTATCCATTCATCAGTGGGTGGACATTTGGGTTGTTTTTATTTCTTAGCTGTTGTATGTAGTTCTGCTATGAAAACTAGCCTACAGGGCACCTTGGTGGCTTAGTCTGTTAAGCATCTGCCTTTAGCTCAGTTCACTATCTTGGGGTCCTGGGATTGAGTCCCGCCTGCTTCTCCCTCTACCTCCTGTTACCCCTGCTTGTGCACTCATACTCTCTATGACAAAGAAATCTTTTTTTTAAAATTAGAATTTAAAAAGATTTTATTCATTTATTTGACACAGAGGGAGAGGGAGAGAGAGAGCACAAGAAGGGGGAGCAGCACACAGGGAAAAGCAGGTTCCCTGCCAAGCAGGGGGCCCAATGCAGGACTCTATCCCAGGACCCTGAGACCATGACCTGAGCTGAAGGCAGAGGCTTAACCAACTGAGGCACCCAGATGTGCCAAATGAATAAAATCTTAAAAAAAAAAAAAAAAAAGCATCTGGCCTACAGATTTTGGGGTGGATGTATGTTTTCATTTCCCTTTTGCATATATGTAGGAGTAGAGTTATTGGGTCTGTGGTAACTTTTTGAGGACTTGGTGGACTTTTCCAAAGTGGGTGCACCATTTTACGTTCCCACCAGTGGTGGATGAGGGCTTTGGTTTTTCTCGTTTCTGGATTCAATTTTATCGTCCTCTTTTAGTTGATTCTCTTACCACTTCTGCCTTCTCTGGTAATCTCACTAGGTTGGGAGAATATTTCCATACGATTTCTGTTAGTGTCACATGTCTTTTCTCACAGTGAAGAAATGGCAGGTGGTCAATTCTTATCCACCCTGAATGTCACATTTTCTTTTGGTTTCACCCTGCTTCCCAGAAGTAATGCAAAGCAAGCAACAATGGAAGTTGATGCCCTCTCCAGATCCATAACCATTTTAGTTCTTAAAACCTAGAAAGTTTTCTCTTGGCTGTAAGCTAAATGAAGGCAAGTACCTTCTCTTTTGTATTTTCTTGTAAACTTTGTATGCAGCTTGTGGTGAGTGTTCAATTAAGTATTAAATGAGAATGGCTATTGTCTCATGTGTAAAATGACTAACTGTTGTGTAGGTTGAATAATTTTTCCTAATTGTGCACAACTTCTGATAGCCTAACCACTTTGGTTATTGTTTTCAATGCACAGATGAACAGGAGACTGAAGATATGATGGAAGAATGTAAAGAATCTTAAGCAAAGACTTGCTGGGCGTGTTCTAATATTTGGATGTTCTCTACCTGGATTATATTTCTTTGATATTTTTGAGACTTGGGGTACAACTGGTCAGTGGGTTTTTTTTTAATTGAAATTTCTTGTAAAATTGTATTTTATTGCCAATCTTGTAACATCAGGGATACATTATAGAAACCAACATTTTATGTATGTGTGAGTTATGTTAAAGCTAGCTGAAGTGCTACGATGACTTTGTGTTTGATTTTATGTGTTACAACTTCACTGGGATTCAGACAGATTTAATCACTGTGAATTCTTACTTGGGCCCTGATTTTCCAGATTTCCTCCTCTCTGATGTCTGGTGGTAAGTATAACTTGCCAAAGGAAAAAAAAAAAAGAATTTTCTCAACAAAGCAATGTTAGCATAGACTTTGCTTTCTTATTAACAGTGATACTTTACTTAAACAGGAGTTTGACTGAATTACTTGATTTAAAAAAAATTTTATTTGAAAGCAAGAGAGAGAGTGAGAGTGAGAGACTAAGTGAGCACAAGCAGGTAGAGAGGCAAGCGGAGGGAGAGGGAGAAGTAGGCTCCCTGCTGAGTAAGGAACCTGATGCAGGACTTGATCCTAGGACTCTGGGATCATGACCTGAGCCAAAGGTTGTCGCTTAACTGCCTGAGCCACTCAGGTGTCCCTGAATTACTTGATTTTTATTATCGGTTATCATCTTTCAGAATGCAGCAACTATATCATCCTGTTGGAGAGTGTATTTATGTCAGAATTTTGAGCAAAGGTTCTATGGCTTTCTTTGATTGAACCAATTTAATCATCTTCTCATCTCTGAAGCAAATTCTGTGGCCAGGGGATGGGCTGTGATAATTGGTGTAATCAGGGATTCATGCTTGCTTTTTCTAGATGGGGAGTTGGGTTAATCTCCCTGGAATAACATATAGAAATTATGGACAGTAGTAAAAAATAAGCAGTAGCAAGACATAATCACATAAACCCTTATGTTTCCCAATGAGAATGCTATGGTAAAACCTCTAATTTTAAATAGCTTGAAGATGAGAGGGGATAAATAATAAATAATTATTAAAATATTAAATAATGTGTTGATGCTCTCCATGTTAGACTGACAGATGTCATAGAAAGAGACAACTACTTCCTAGATAGTAATTTGTTACACACCTCTTATAAAAGGACCACATAAAGAGGTCTTCTAAATCTTCTTTTTGGTTAGTCTTATGTTACACTGGTAATGGATGGATGATATTCTTGAAACATGGGTATTAATCAAAATGCTATAAACACCATATAGAGAGGGAAAAGGGAAGACACTCAGACTTTTTTCTCTAGAGTGCACTAAAAGAAATTAGCAGCAAAGATCAGCTGCTTAAGAAAAGTTGTGTGGCTCTATTTTAAGAGAGGTTTGTCTAGTTACAGGTTAGTCACTTGGATTCATGAGAGCAATTTATGTCCACACTTTTTGACAATGAATTGGCACTACAAGTCCAGTTTATTTCTGATGAAAAAGAAATGAGCAGGTAATCGTGCTGCCTCTAATGAAGTTTGGAGGGATAGGTATGTTGCATGACTATTTTTTGCTTACTTGTTTTCATCACCTGTTAGTGGATTATGTTCACGATGACTTTAAAAAATGAATTCTGTGCTACTGTTTTCAGAGGAATCGATAGGCAATTTCTTTTTTGAGCTGCCTCTTTCAGTTGACATGAAAATAACAATGGTTCTTGTCGATGTCAATGTGTGACAGTGTAATTCATCTTTATGTGAAGGATTTTGTTGGGGGGTACCAGCAGAAGTTAAAGTCATGCTTTTAGACTGTCCTAGGAATGACATGTGTATTTTAAGGTTTGAGTCAGGGGAGAGGTGACATGGTGGGAATTTGGAGTGGTGACAGAGAGGAGCCATTTTGGCCCAATACCCTTTTTGAGGAGCTCAGCTTTCTAAACCTGTGCTTCTGGTATTTGAGTGTGTGTGTGTATATGTGTGTGTAGGGGGGTTGAGAGCTTATGGCTTCCTAATATGTTTCTGCAAATGGTATTTGGGGTATAGTGAGCCTTTATGTTATAGAAGTTTAAGAGAAGAGAAGGAAGACTGAATGATCTTAAATAATGGATTTTGCCATTGAAAGAGCTGACACCATTCATTCCATAGCATGTCAACTGAAGGGACCTCTAACAGGGACTGGTAAGCTGAATATAGACTATAATTCAGATGAGATCGGGTACAATCAGGGGTATAATGTAATGCAACATGAAGACTCCAGATTTTGTTTTGTTTTAAATATTATCCTGTAAGGGAGAAAATGTTCTTATTAAAAATCAGTGCTTTCCCAAAGATACAGATGTAGTGAAAAAAAGGGCCATATGTACCCCAATATTCATAGCCGCAATGTCCACAATTACCAAACTGTAGGAAGAGCCTAGATGCCCTTCAGCAGATGAATGGATAAAGCAGATGTGGTCCATATATACAATGGAATATTACTCAGCCAACAGGAGGGTGAATACCCAACTTTTGCATCAACATGGTTGGGACTGGAGGAGATTATGCTGAGTGAAATAAGTCAAGCAGAGAATGTCAATTATCATATGGTTTCACTTACTTGTGAAGCATAAGTAATAACATGGAGGACATTAGGAGAAGGAAAGGAAAAGTGAATTGAGGAAAATCAGAGGGGGAGATGAACCATGAGAGACTGTGGACTCCTAGAAACACAAACTGAGGGTTTTAGAGGGGGGGGGGGTGGGGGGGATGGGTGAGGCTGGTGGTGAGTATTAAGGAGGGCACATATTGCATGGAGCACTGGTTGTTATAGGCAAACAATGAATCTTGGAGCACTATATCAAAAACTAATGATGTGTGATGATTAACATAACACAATAAAAAAAGTAAAGATAAAAAAAGTAATAATGACACAAAGTATAGGAATAACTTCATGCACACACAAAAAATTCAGTTTTTATTTTAAGGTTCCTTCTAGACCTGAGTCTTTGCCCCAGAATAAGATAGAAAAGAAAAAGCATGAAAGAGAATCTTTAGGATCTTAAAATTTGAGCTTTTTCTGCTTATGACTTCTCAAGAAAACAACTGGCACCACCTTTATTATAAATTCCTGAAGGACCTGAAGTTTATGGCCCTTCAACTGTCTCTGGAACACAGGACCATAAACTCTTGTAGCAGGAAAAAGGTATCACCCTGATGGCATAATTTTAATTCTTAACAAGCCCTTTGTTTCCATGTAACCTACTGATTTGAAGGTGAGTCTCAGAGTAAACATGGAACATGCCTGGGAAAAAGCTCCTGTTCCTATACACTTTCTCTGTCCTATCAGGATTTTTTTTTTTAAATTATGTTCAATTAGCCAACATAGAGTTCATCATTAGTTTTTGATGTAGTGTTCAGGGATTCGTTAATTGTGTATAACACCCAGTTCTCATCACCACACATGCCCTCCTTAATACCCATCACCTGGTTACCTCCTCCCCTCACTCCCCTCCCCTCTGAAACCCTCAGTTTGTTTCCTGGAGTCCAGTCTCTCATGGTTTGTCTCCCTCTCTGATTTCTTCTCATTGTTTTCCTTTCATTCCCTATGGTCCTCCATACCATTGCTTATGTTCCACATATGAGTGAAACCATATGAGAATTGTCTTTCTCTGTTTGACTTATTTCACTTAGCACAGTCCCCTCCAGTTCCATCCATGTTGATGCAAATGGTGAGTATTCAGCCTTTCTGATGGCTGAGTAATTCCATTGTGTATATGGACCATATCTTTATCTATTCATCTGTTGAAGGACCTCTTTGGCTGTTGTGGGCATTGCTGCTATGAACATTGGGGGTACATGTGCCCATGTTTTCACTGTCCTATTAGGATATTTTCAGTGACTGTAGTCTTGCTACTTAAAAGTGAATTAGAATTCTCTTCCAAGACTTGCCATGTTTGTGCTCCTCTCAGAAGGAATGGTGTCCTTTTTGAAAGAATTATCTTTCAAATCAGTTTTCCAAACTCTGTGACCCTTTCGATACCTTCTAGTGCTTGATTCTTTACCTGGGCACCATGAAATGATTTGGCAGTTTATGCTTTGGTATGATTATGCTGCCTTCAAAGGAGAAGTGTTTTTTAGAATGAGAGACAAAAGTCAATAAGGAGAGTGTATCTCAGTCTGTCAGTCATTTCTAGAGTTCACTGGACTCCAAAGCCAGACCTTTAGCCTATTCCTAAGATTTTTGATTCTACCTGTTCTTATTAAAAAATGGAAATTAATCGTCCAGTATTCTACACTCATTCATTGTTAGCTCACCCGGAACTCAAGGTCTGCTTATTGTAATGCTTTGACCTTCTCTTCAAAAACTAATCTTATACTTTGTATGTATATGTAGGAGTTCTTCTAAGTTCTTTTTTAGTGCTGTTTTTGACCAAAGGTGAATTCATTCTCTAAAAGGTGACATCTGTAGAGTTTGGCCCAACTTTTTTTTTTTTTTTTTTTAAGATTTTATTTATTTATTGGACAGACAGAGATCACAAAGTAGGCACAGAGGCAGGAAGAGAGAGAGGAGGAAGCAGGCTCCCTGCTGAGCGGAGAGCCCGATGAAGGGCACAATCCCAGGATCCTGGGATCATGACCTGAGCCAAAGGCAGAGGCTTTAACCCACTGAGCCACCCAGGTGCCTCTGGCCCAACTTTGTAAGGATGGCTCTTCCCTCAGTAGTACTTACTTCTTCTTCTTCTTTTTTAAATTGTTTAATGATGTATTTTATGGTAACTAACATAAGTTTTTGATGCAGTGTTCCAAAATTCACTGTTTGCGTATAACGCCCAGTGCTCCATGTAATATGTGCCTTCCTTAATACCCACCACTAGGCTCCGCTATCCCCTCTACCCCCTTCCATATAAAATCCTCGGTTTGTTTCCTGGAGTTCACAGTCTCTCATGGTTTGTCTTCCCTTCCAATCCCCCCCACACACCCCTTCAGTTTTCCTTTCCTTCTCCTAACGTCCTCCATGTTATACCTTGTGTTCCA